AGTGAATTATTCATTCCAGTGTGTTTCGTTTTAAAACACGAGCTCTGTCATATTCTGTGATTGTCTCTGAAGAGTGCGAGCTCGCACACGTCATGCGCGCTGTGTGAAGTACAGACTGAACGGATTGTCAACACATCCCACCGCTGTATGGCCAGATGAGATGCAAACTATGTTTTCTCGACTGGATAACCAGTGTCTCGCTAGTAAAGTTTTGATGGATGAAGACTGCAATCAAGGTAAAGACGATTGCGGTGGCGTACAGGAGTCGTACATTAAGCACGCGTGAGTCCGTTATAATAATGCGTGTGAGTGCTCTTGACGCACTGATCGCAAATTGTATTTAAGCACAGGCACAGACATTTCCGTACATTCACATTGTTTCCACACACATTCACGATAATGTTTTGATTTGTCATGTTTATGTTGCTGTGTTTAGTTATTCTGAATGGTAGTTTCATTTTTTTGCATTTTGAAATAGATATTTCTGAGTTCTGTATCCCTCTGTGTTGTGTTTGTTTAATTCTTCTGTTAGAAAGATAACTGAGCCTTTAGATCTCATTTGTAACAGATATGCTTATAAATCAAGAACAAGGCATTTATAGTTGTATTTATAAACTGTTTATGTTGGGACAATGCTTTATAAAGGATGAACTGACTATTTACTAATGCTTGAATAATGATTCATAGTACCAATATTTTGAGTAGCGTCTGTTTTTCCATTCAGTGGAAGGAAAGGTTCACCATAACTGTTTGGTTGCCAATATTCCTGATCTTTTATATTCCACAGAAGAAAGTCAGGCTTGGAATGAGATGAGTGTGAGTGAATGATATAATCTGTGCTTAAATGCAGCGGGTGAGTCCAGGACTGACCTGTCTCTCCGCGGGTGTGACGTCGCTCAGAGACTGGCTGCTGATGTAAACCCAGTCTCCCAGTCTGTCCATGCGCTCCTGGAACTGACCGTACGATGCCAGCCTCCTCTCGTCCTGCAGCGGTGTGTGTGTCTGCAGACGACCCTCCACCTCACGCAGCTTATCCAGCAGCTCACGACTCGCCTTCAAACACACACCATAACATGCCATTCACATCAAGCAGTAGAGATTAATCCACATATATATGGCCACTCCGAGCCCTACTACCAACACATTTGCACATATACAGTTCGATGTTAAGCATTAGTAAGCAGTCAATTCATCCTTTATAAAGGATTGCCCCAACATTAATAGGCATTAGTAAGCAGTTTATAAATACAGCTAGAAATGTTCTGTTCTTGATTTATAAGCATATCTATAATGTTTAATAATTGGATTTTCATACTTTATTAATTTCATACTTTATCAATTTATCATTTCTAAATTAAGTTATTTATAAACCAGTTATTTAGGAGTTGTCAATGGTCCATACGATCATTTAGAAAGTGATTAATAAACTATTTAAATGTACATTTATAAATGGTATTATTTAGACGTATGATACTAGTTGCTCATTGTGTTAATAAATGCTTTATTAACACATATTCCTGCTGTAATTCATGATTAAGTCAGGTAGTTATAAAACATTTAGTAGTTGTCAGATAACTATTTTTGTGAACTCATCTAAAGTGAGGACTATTTATAAAGCTTTTACAGAGATTTAGAGGCTCCGTTATCTTCTAAACAGAAAAAAGGAAACAAACACATTCAAGATGAAAAAAATTAAACTGTACCAATGTACACTTGATTTATAATGAAAAATAAACCTCTTCAATGTCATTACTTAAGTTTATTATTTAATAAGTTTATTAATCATTTACTTACACTTTCTAAATTATCTTATGAACCACTGGACAATGCTTTATAAAGGATGAACTGACTATTTACTAATGCTTGAATAATGATTCATAGTACCAATATTTTGAGTAGCGTCTGTTTTTCCATTCAGTGGAAGGAAAGGTTCACCATAACTGTTTGGTTGCCAATATTCCTGATCTTTTATATTCCACAGAAGAAAGTCAGGCTTGGAATGAGATGAGTGTGAGTGAATGATATAATCTGTGCTTAAATGCAGCGGGTGAGTCCAGGACTGACCTGTCTCTCCGCGGGTGTGACGTCGCTCAGAGACTGGCTGCTGATGTAAACCCAGTCTCCCAGTCTGTCCATGCGCTCCTGGAACTGACCGTACGATGCCAGCCTCCTCTCGTCCTGCAGCGGTGTGTGTGTCTGCAGACGACCCTCCACCTCACGCAGCTTATCCAGCAGCTCACGACTCGCCTTCAAACACACACCATAACATGCCATTCACATCAAGCAGTAGAGATTAATCCACATATATATGGCCACTCCGACATCAGCAGCATTAGCCGAAAACTGCCTGTGTCACGTCCAGATTTACAATATATTTTCAGTGAAATAATTTAATTGTGGAAATGCAGCAGGGTTAATGTATTTCTGTAGGTCAAAGCCCAGAAATGAGTTTTAGCACTTCTGCTTCCACTGGCATGAAGTCAATGGGTTTTATGAATGGCTTTTTTTGGTTCAAGATATTTTCATGCTTTATTTTATGACATGAAACACACCAGTAAACCCCCATGTTACTCGTCTTGTTTGCTAACAAGTGGCTCATTCTAAATATAAAAATCCTGGCTTTTTGTCGAGGGACACGGGCTGATGCTGCTTCCAGGTTGGCCTACAAAACTATGTCATCACTGCAGCGCTCTATTGTCTGTGTCTCATTTGGCATCATTAAAATGTACCAGAGAGACAGCCGTGTAGATGTGAAAACATGAGGGTGCATTAAAAAAAAAAGATATAGAAAGATAGAAAGAGAATTAGTTGTGATTGTGTGTTATAGAGTTGGTTTCGTACTTTACTCCAGCTGATGTTTATCTGCCTGATTTGATTCATATGAGTGTCTCTGTCCTGAGGACTCAGGCTGGAGTTTGACAAGATCTGAGAGCCGGTTTTATTTAGCCATGACAGCGTCTCATTCTGACCATCCATCTCCTCCGTCAAGGCCTGAGAGAGAGAGAGAGAGAGAGAGAGAGAGAGAGAGAGAGAGAGAGAGAGAGAGAGAGAGAGAGAGAGAGAGATCACCTGAGTCAATCTGACACTGAATCTATTGAATATAAAGCCCTCCTTGCCAATGAATCCCCCACAGTGTCTCATCCTCTAAATACACTCGTGCTTCAACTAATGAAGGAAACTCAAGCTGAGTCTGACTCCAACCACAACCCCGGGTTACGAGTCCGACTCTCTAACCATTAGGCCACGACTTCCCCGATGAAATGGCAGTCAAACTAGCTGCTAAATATGTATACACTAGTGATGCGCGGATGAACTAAAACGTCACCCGAATCCGCAGCTTCAAATAAATTATCCACCCGCCAACCGCCCACACCTGTATTTTTGTCTGATTTAGATAACCGCACCCGATCATCACATTAGGGTTCGTACAGTCATAAAAAATCTGGAAAAGTCATTGAACAACAATTTCCAGGCCTAGAAAGTTTTGTAAAAATAAATAAACTCAAAAAGTTTTTGAAAAGTCATGAAAATCTATTTCACAATTCTCTGTATAATAGAATTATGTTTAATCAGATCCTGAATTTCGTTGCGGGATTGCGCATACATCGCATGTAGTTAATACTTGCATCATTAATGATTTATTTTATCCACCCGCGACCCACCCGCAAATAATCAGAATGCATTTTTTTATTACCCGACCCACCCGATCCGCGGATTATCCGCAGCGCCCGCGGATATAACCGCCATCCGCGCATCACTAGTATACACCATACACACCATATGGAATGGTTAATTAATTTGCTTTATTTGGCATTCTTCATTGTATATAATTGTAAGTATTATAAAGTTAAAGCAGAGGTTCTGAGGCACTAGCTGCTGTTTTGGGGAGCAATCAGTTAAAATGGTTTATAATTAAACTAACTTTTTATTTTGAGCTTTTAAATTAGGGATGTTTTGGTGTTAATAGTTGCATTTACAGTAAATTTACACTACCATTCAAAAGTCTGGGGTCTTTTTTTTTTTTTTATTCAGGAAGGACATTCAATTTTTCAAAAGTGACCGTAAATACATTTATAATTTTTGACATTATTTCAAATAAATGCTGCTCTTTTTAACTTCAAAAACATGGACAATATTAAGAAGTAATAAGATAGTAAGAATGTTTCTTGAGCATCAAATCAGCTTATTAAATTACTGAAGGATCATGTGACACTGAAGAATGGAGACTAAAAGAGACTAAGAGACAAAACCTTACCAATCCCAAATTTCTCAGTGGGAAAAATGTGTGCTTGAGTTTTTGACTAACTAATCTAACAACAACAACAACAATAATACTAATGTAAACTAAAACTAAAGTAAAATAAAAATGGTAAACTGGTCAAATATTGAACAGCTTTCTCTGGCTTGTGAAGTGTAAACAGTAAATCTTAAATTAAAAGTTCATTTAAATAATACTGAAAATGATCAGTTAAGACCCCAACGGATTTCTTAACTAAATACAGAACATAAAGCACATGAAATAAAAACGTGTCCATGAAATAAAAACCAAAATAATAAATTACTGCTGAAACTAAAACTAAACTGAAATTTGAAAGTAGCATTACAATAAATTTAACAACTAAAAATTATAGAAAACGTTGTAAAAACAAAAATAATGTTAATAATAAATGAACAATATTAAATAATGACTACATTTTTTATGTTTGGTCACACTTTATTTTAAGGTCCAATTCTCGCTATTAACAAACCATTAACTATGACTTTTGCCTCAAAAACTCCTAATTTGCTGCTTATTAATAGTTAGTAAGGTAGTTGTTAAGTTTAGGTGTTTAGGGATGTAGACTATGCTCATGCAGAATATGTGCTTTATAAGTACTAATAAACAACTGTTATGCTAATAATAGGCATGCTAATAAGCAACTAGTTAATAGTGAGAATTGTTCCCTATACTAAAGTGTTAGCTTTTCTTTTCTTGAATACCATCAATGCAGTTAGTTGATGATGCAGGTGTGTGTGTGTGTGTGTGTGTGTGTGTGAGTGTGCGTGCGTGCGTGCGTGCGTGCGTGTACGCGTGCGTGCAAGTGAGTGTGAGTGTGTGTGCATGTGAGAGAGTGTGTGTGTGTGTGTGTGTGTGTGTGACCTTGAGCTCTCTGAGGCTCTTGTCGGTGGCTGAAACAGGCAGCGTCTCCACGGCAACCTCTGTGTGCTCCAGCCACTGAGCCAGACCAGCAGTCCTCTGAACAACATCCATCACAGCCGGATTCTCACCCATCAACCTGCACAAACAGCGTTTAGTGCACACACACCCTGATCTGAGAGTCTGTGTGTGGGTGCTGCGGTCTGGCTCACCTGCGCTGGCGCTCACACGCTTCTCTCTCGACGTGCGTCCAGCGGCGTCTCAGAGCGTCCAGCTTCTCCTGCAGCAGAGCGGCGTCAGGCGACGACACCTGACCGATGATGTGCTCTCCAGACCGGCTCAGAACCGCCAGCACAGACTGATGAGAGGCCAGACCCTCCTCCAGATCCTACACACACACACACACACTGGGTTAATGGACGCTTGACATGTCACAAACAGGAAGTTGCCACTTCTCTTCATATGCAAATGAGGGTAAGAAATGCATCTGACCTTAATTTGTATTTGAGGACAATTTCACATTCAACTCGCCCTGTTTCAGCACTTTCAGACCCAGAAACACACACACACTTTCTCCAAACCTCTGCCAGACTGTGAAACACACTTAAGCACGCATGAGTCTAACGATGAATGTCCTCGTTTGATTTTTCAGTGTTAATTGCAGGGGAAGAGGTGACTGTGACTTCAAAACACTCATTTCACACATCAGTCGTGCAAACATTGTCGGTTTATTTTGCTCGTATGCTGGAAATCATCTTTCTTTTATAAATTTAATTGTGAATTAGAAGTGCTTGTTGATTTAATTATCATATAATTATCACACAATTATCAATTAGCATCTCGCAGAATGATCACTGATCTCCATTAACATTCATGATTAATGATTACTCCCTTCTATATTTATGTTCTGTGATTTTTTTTTCTGTTCAGAGTATGACATTTTGTTGACATTTACATTGACATTAATGCATGTGGAAGACACTTTTATTTAAACTGACTGAAATGTATTCCAGATATAGATTTTATAGGAACTGAACCAAAGAACGTGTACCTGTAAGTGCAAAAATAATTTGCAAAGCAGCAAATGTACATAAAAAGCATAACTGAATTGTAAAAATGACCCTGGCTAATGTAAATTACACTTAATACATTTAAATCTGTCAAATTAAATGTCTGTCATGATTTGCATATCTACTGACAAATTTGACCATAATGGAAATGTTTCCATGAGAAGCTTACCAAGGATTTGTAAAAATTCACTGAATATATTCATATTTAACATGTTTATAATTTAAACATGCACTCACTATTGTTCAAAATTTTGAGGTCTGCAAGATTTTTTTAGAGATTATTATTAGATTAGAGATTATTATTAGATTCAGCCTTAGTGCTGCATGCATCTGATCAAAATATAGTAAAAACAGTAATATTGTGAAATATTATTATAAATTGAAATAGGTGTCTTCTATGTGAATATATTGTAAAATGTAATTTATTCCTGTGATCAAAGCTGAATTTTCAGCAGTCATTACTCCAGTCTTCAGTGTCACATGATCCTTCAGAAATCATTCTGATATTCTGATTTGCTGCTCAAGAAACATTTCTGACTATTATTAATGATGAAAACAGTTGTGCTACTTCATATTTTTTTAGGAAAATGTGATTTTTAAAATTTTTTATAAATAGACATCTTTAGTCACTTTCATTGTGTCGTTGATTTTTTTTTTTTTTTTTTTAAAAACAAAAAAAAGTTACTGACCCAAAATAACATAATTGTATGTGTGTGTGTATATATATATATATATATATATATATATA